CCCAGCCTTGCAGTCCGAAACTTGTCACCACAAGAAAACGAAAGAGGCCAAAACGTCAAACGCTGGGCCCGCCATTGATAAATTCGATCGGCGGGGCCCGTTTTCGTTTCACGGCCTCCAAAATTTTGAGGTGTCGGACTCCGCGCCTCCAGAATTTGAGGTGTCGGACCCGCGGCCCAGGCGCCCACGTACTGGTGGTTTAAGGTGAAAAGCCACAAGGTAGAAGCCACTACCTTTTTCCTTTACCCCCCGCCCCCCCCCCCCCCCCCACACAATACGCCCAGTCGGTCATCTTATACGAGCCGCATTCTTCGCCCAACATGGCCCAATTAACTCTTAATAACGACGAGGAGATTCAGACATAGGACATATGACAGTATGTCGTGTTTAGCGCTAGAAAGTAGCCACTCAGTCCCGATATAAAATCCCTTCACCGACTGGCATCAAACTATTGTCCCTCGAAAAATGATCCCAAGGACACACAAGAAAACGTTCTCCATTCCCACCCACAGATCTGATGATAGAGCCCTCCCCACCCTGTCCTCGGTAATTCTTGACATGATCACAGGAGACGCAATCACGCTCTACGCTTTGTTCGCAAACTCACTCGTTGGTTCAAATACGAAATCAACTGCACCCCAAATTCTTCCCTAACCCCTCCTTACCCCAAATTCTTCCCTAACCCCTCCTTACCCTAAATTCTTCCCTAACCCCTCCTTACCCCAAATTCTTCCCTAACCCCTCCTTAGCCCAAATTCCCTAATCCCTCATCACCTGCGTAGCACGGCAAATGTGTTCGCACCCCTTCACGTTCCGCGCGAACAGCTCGCGAACATGTTCGGGCAAACATTTTTTTTTCCCGAAAAAAAAATACAAAGAAAAAAATTAATTATTTTTTCGTTTTTTTTTTTTTTTTTTTAACTCGTTACTGGCTACGAATTTGAACACGACTCCAGGACAAAAGTTGCTTGTATTGTTATTTTACATAACATATATTGTTTTCGGATTTTTCTGAGAACCTTCTTTGTTTTTTTTTTTTAAATACTTTTTATGTTCACGTTCGAAGGTTTTTGGGCGCTTGTTCGCGTTCAGGCGAACATGTTCGCGTTCGTCTCCGAACGCGAACACAGTGCTACGTAGCTACTTACCAATAATCGAATAACACTATCCTTAATCCCACAACTCTCGCCCAGTAGACTAGCCGCAAAGAAAGTAGAGTAGAGTTCATGGAGTATCCATTTTTTTTTTAAAGACATTTAGAAGATCTAAAGAAAGTACAGATTGTCTATACGCAAAGGCACAGAAATAAATATAGCAGAGAATAAGAGTACAACGACTTAAAAACCTTATAGGCCATTTGTGCCCAGGCGCCGGGGCACCCACCCAACTTGTGCCCGGATATTTGCCCGGTGTCCAGACGTGCACGAACCTCGGGCAGAGTCCCGGGCAGCACAAGCGTCAAGAAAAAAATAAACAAAGAACAAAAGAAACAACGAATTCCAGAAAACAAAATGTTGTGTAGAATTTCAATACAAACGACTCCTGTCTGAGGGTCATATCAGAATTCCTCGTGGAGTGGAAGATACAAGAAATAAAACACAACAGAATCAAGCCACCGCACCCCCCTTCAAGCCCCTTGCGCCCCTTACAAACAAATTCATACCCCCCTTACCCCCCCTACCCCCGTCCTTTAACAGCCAACGCTCGAAAAAAGAGAGGAAGCCATGCTCAGAAAACCTCCCGCCGCCGCCGCCCCCCCAAAAAAACAAAGAGAAACGGCTGATTTTCCCCTGCACCCCGTGCAGGCACCCCCCTCGGGCGATTTGCCCGGGTTGCACGGGCATGTTGCATGTCCGGGCGAGTCGCGTAGCCTAGTTAATTAACACAATTCGGGACGATTTATCACACATGCCATATACGATTTAACACAATCACTCACAGTCGCCGACGCCACAAAATTACTTCATGCACTTGTCACACGATCACAGCAGCGCATGCTAATTAGGGAAAATGTGATTTTCACTGTTTTCACTTTTTTCCATGTTTTCACATATTAAACCACATCCTTCACTATGCTTTTCACTGTTTTGTGTTTTCACTTTTTTGAAGTTCTTTCCGTGTTTCCACATATTAAACCACATCCTCTCCAACCCCTAAGAGAGAGAGATCTGCATCTCCTCTTCGGATAATGCAACACGTCATAATCCTCTTTTTTTTTTTTTTTTTTTCAGTCATAATCCTTTGCAACCCTGACGAGCTACCTGGAGATATCATCGTGTTAACCTGACCCGTCCCAGGTAAACTTTTTTTTTTTTCATTCTGTTCATCCCAGAGTATTTGGATTCGAACTTGGACGGAATTGCGCCCAGATTCATCGTTGAACTGACCGGTCCCGTATTTCAACAGTTCATTGGTGTACCAACTGAGGGCATATACTCACACTACGACTAGTTTTACGTATTTGTTTTGGACAGAATTGCGGCCAGATACATCCAGCTATGGCCATGGATGCGGTCAGATAAATTTGAGATATTGCTCTACTTTGAATACGCCCTGCGCTAGGCCCTTTCGTAAATCCACCGTCCTTTTCAGATTAAATCCTCTTCAGAAAAAAAAAAAAAAAAAAACGAGTCCAGTATCGTTGTATCCTTTTCAGATTAAAAGTCCAGTATCGTTTATATACATAATCCACCATCTCTCATCTCTTTTTCCTGCAACCCTCAGATATCCGCATATCCTTAAAAAAAAAAAAAAAAAAAAAAAAA